GATGAGAGAAAGGCCAAATAAAGCAGATGCTGCAGTTCACTCTCCGGCCAGCAGGTAGAGCACAAACTTATCATCATCTTCATACGGGTGATTCTGGAGTTATGGGAACATTTTGCATCTCCAATAGAAATTTTTAAAATAATTTTTCAAAAACAGAAACTTTAATGAAACAATTTTGAATAACAACACAAATTATATCAAGTTACCCCTAACAAAAAATGTCTGTATGTGTATTTAGGGACATTTTGTCTTGAAAATATTAAGGACTCCCATTATAGCTATTTTTTGAATCACACATTCAGCTTCAATCGTCATCAAACAATAAGTCTAATTTTCATATTTTTTGCATTTACTAAGTTAAATAAACATTAACATAACAATTTGTTAATGAAGTAATAAAAAAGTACATTTTGCATATGTCTCTGCATTCTGGTCAACTCAACATCGGTTGAGAAAAGGCAGAACAATCTGTAAAGCACTGATAGAAAAAGCATGCGAGTAGCTTCAAGTGATGTCACTATTCCTGGCCGAATGGCATTGAGGCCTGCCATTATGCTTCTTATTAATTTGCACAAAAATGTTTATGATTCAGCAACAGTAGATGAATTATTCGTCAACTCGCTTAAAGTTAAATTTCAGTGAATTTCTCACGAATTTCTTCACAAAAACAATAATATGATGAAAATCTATAAATTGTGTGGCTTGAGGTTAGCATCTTGAGATAAATAGCAAAACAGTGGAAAATAGTTAAAGATTAATAATACATTAAACAACACTTGGTAACAGAATCAAATATTTCCGATCACATCTAAGCATTATTTTACACCAGCACTGTACTCAGATTACGGTAAATTTGTTGTGTCGATCCAGTTTAATGAAAAATGCCTGAAAATGTGGCTGCAGTTCAAGAACAGTCTTTACATTTAGCAAGAAGTGATATGAAGCAGAGGATTTGCTAGACATAAAGCTCTACTGGGGCACAGCTCCCCCTCAAATGAAAAAAAAATAATAATAATAATTTATATATATATATATATATATATAAATATTTTTTTTTAATTTTTTTTAAAAGGTTCGTAGCCAGCCTATTAAAAGGAGTGATTCTATTTTTTCAGATATTTGAGGTTTAAATACTGCATTTAAGTGACATTTTAAGCACTATTTTGTGCTAGATTAGCTTGTCGGATGGTTATAACCACACTTTTTGATGAAATAAAAAGTGCTTATACTATTTTTTGTTTACAGAAATCTTTTACAAGATTCAAATCATATTTCACATCAATTACAAGTTGTTACAGTTTTATATATAATGTAATGAGACTAGAATTTTAGAAATATTAAAAAATACTTATTTTAAATGCTAATTTATTATCATTCATCATAAAAAATAAAAATAAAATAAAAATTAATTATAACTTTAGCCTATGGGCAAATAACAAACTGGCCAGCTCATTTCGTCAGTCAGAATTTGTCCATTTAAATAATAAAAGCCTTCTTTTATTGCTTATTCTTCTTAACGCCTTCTTAGATTGGTTATTTTAACAATTTATCATGGCATACTGTCAAAAATGGGACAAATGAGCTCATATAGAGGCCAAATTCTGGCCTTTGTCAGAAGAGGGTTGGGTCTTTCGAACCACCCAAGAAATCTTTTGCATGAATATTAATTTCATTTGAATAAAATTCTCTCGACAATTCTAAAAAATACAAAAAAAGATATTTTATAGAATTAGCAGTTGTGTGTTGTCTTAGACCCGACTCATGGCAGAGAAATAGCTTTATTAAGTCTTACCTCTCTGACTCATCATCCCTCCTTTTGCTTCAAACAAAAAAACCTATCAGGAGCCATGCTTAGTCTAAATAAGATCATCATCATGTTGTTTGAACTTCAGTTTTGTCGACTTGCAAAACTCACTGCGTGCCGACACCTCCGCATAAAAGACTGTTGCGGTTTCACAACGCATAAGCGGCGCAGCTATTTTTTCGGTGTGCATGTTTACAACCGGGACTTACACCCGGAGCAGAGCAGTGTCAGGCGCGCGGGTATGTTTTTTTTCTGTGCACATCCTCAGTTTTGTTTATGAGTAAATGACATTGCTTTCATCAGCGTTGGTTCGGTTGCACATAGAGGTTAACGTCTTTATTCTGGGATTACCACTCTTAATAAACACACTTGCATATAAAGTAAATCGTATCTCAAAGCATTTACTGGGGCACTGGCGATTTTTACTGGGGCACGATGGGGTCTAGCGATGCCCCTGTGTAAAAGCATCTATAAAATGGACTCACGCTTCGTGTCCAAAGCCTGTTGTGTTGAGAAAGAAACTACTCAGATAACCTTCAAGCTTCTCATTTACTCCACACCGAGTCCTTTGAAAAAAGCGAGAGCAGAAAAAGCACATTCTTCAGTGTTTAACAACATAAATTATAAAATACTGTTATAAATATACATTTAATAAATACATTTTATAAATAAATATGCTTACTTGACGTAAAACAGCAAGCCTGTCAGGGAATATTATTGTTATTGCAGCACAGACTTGAACAGATTTTCTCTCTCCATCTGTTTTCTCATGCAAACTTGAGATCAGTGTGTGGCCGCTGGTGCGTGACGTCACACACACATTCACGAAGGCGCATTTAACATCTGTATGAAGAATTTCACATCAACCTGCAGCAGAGAAGGGAAACAAGGCATATTAATAACACAAAGTATTGTCATAAAACATATTACGTGAGATGTATACAGAGAACTGCTGCTAAATAGCATATTATACCTTTTTATATATATTTATAAATATATAAGTTTCTTTTTTTTTTTTTTACAATTTATTCAATTATGACCCTTATGACTACTATTGATAAAATAATTAATAATCAAAACAAACAAATACATATTTATATACTAAATCATATCTTTCACTTGCATATAGCTGCTTATTTACAGATTTTTTTTATATTTTACATAATTAGTATATTACGATATAAAAATTTATGCATTATTAAATGATATAACACTTAACTAATAATCAATTACATGATGCATTTCCAATGATTGGTATTCCAATATATTATATTAGCATGAAATTTATGATAATAAATTATTATTAATAATGCTCTAATAAAAAAATCATATTAAATGTAACAATAACATACATTAAAATGACATGAGTCTGATGATATAGCTACATTAAATTAATCATATACACTCACCGGCCACTTTATTAGGTACACCTGTCCAACTGCTCGTTAGCGCAAATTTCTAATCAGCCAATCACATGGCAGCAACTTAATGCATTTAGGCATGTAGACATGGTCAAGACGATCTGATGCAGTTCAATGTGAGCATCAGAATGGGCAAGAAAGGGGATTTAAGTGACTTTGAACGTGGCATGGTTGTTGGTGCCAGACGGGCTGGTCTGAGTATTTCAGAATCTACTGGGATTTTTACACACAACCATCTTTAGGGTTTACAGAGAATGGTCAGACAAAGAGGAAATATCCAGTGAGCGGCAGTTCTGTGGGTGCAAATGCCTTGTTGATGGCAGAGGTCAGAGGAGAATGGCCAGACTGGTTCCAGCTGATAGAAAGGCAACAGTGACTCAAATAAGCACTCGTTACAACCGAGGTCTGCAGAAGAGCATCACTGAACGCACAACACGTCCAACCTTGAAGCGGATGGACTACAGCAGCAGAAGACCACACCGGGCCACTCCTGTCAGCTAAGAACAGGAAACTGAGGCTACAATTCACACAGGCTCACCAAAACTGGACAATAGAAGATTGGAGAAACGTTGCCTGCTCTGACGAGTCTCGATTTCTGCTGCAACATTCGGATGGTCGGGTCAGTATTTGGTGTTAACAACACGAAAGCATGGATCCATCCTGCCTGTATCAACGGTTCAGGCTGGTGGTGGTGGTGTGATGGTGTGGGGGATATTTTCTTGGCACCATTTGGGCCAATTGGTACTAACTGAGCATTGTGTCAACACCACAGCCTACCTGAGTATTGTTGCTGACCATGTCTATCCCTTTATGACTACAGTGTGCCCATCTTCTGATAGCTTCTTCCAGCAGGATAACACGCCATGTCATAAAGAGCGAATCACCTCAGACTGGTTTCTTGAACATGACAATGAGTTCACTGTACTCAAATGGCCTCCACAGTCACCAGAACTCAATCCAATAGAGCACCTTTGGAATGTGGTGGAACGGGAGATTCACATCATGGTCGTGCAGCCGATAGATCTGCAGCAACTGTGTGATGCTATCATGTCGATATGGAGCAAAATCTGAGGAATATTTCCAGTACATTGTTAAATCTATGCCATGAAGGATTAAGGCAGTTCTGAAGGCAAAATGGGGACCAACCTAACTAGTAATGTGTACCTAATAAAGTGGCCGGTGAGTGTAATAACTTGAGTTTAACCTGCAATAAGAGTCATATGTAACATTATACCAATGTTATTCGTTTTATCAACTTTTCTGCACTGTGATATACGTTAATAAGTACCATTATTGTTACTTTAATTAGCAATAAGCTAATTAACGCAGTGTTTGTTATTGTAAAAGACAGAAGCATCAATTACAACTTTTTAAATAGGTAATTCTAAAATACCGTGAATTATTATTCACCTCATATTACC